CCCACGTGTGGGGAGGGAAATCCTGGAGGCGTCGCGCGGAAACTTGAGACCGAATGCACGTCGGATCCACATCGGATGTATCCCGGCTTTCAGTCGGAATATGTCAGGCTCACGTCGGAGCCACGTCGGACTTACGTGGGAGCATCCGCCGCGCGAACGTCGACCATGACTCACGGAGCGGACATGGGGACTGAATAGTACAACTATTGCGCGCAGCACGAGGCCTCCAGGATTTTTCCCTCATGGACAGGAAGCGGTATCAAATAACCTCACGTGGCTAGGCCAACATCCTCAAGAAGACCAGGGTGCGCGGGCCCGTTGCCTGCTATCCCCCCCGCCAGCAGAACGGAGGAAGCGCGAAGAAGGAGGTCCCAAAGCGTAGCCTTCTGTGGCAACGCTCGGGTGCCTCCTATACGGGTTGTTGGCTCTTGCGAATCGTCGCCAATCGACGCTGATCGACGCTGATCGATGCTGATCGACGCACGCTAGTTGGCGCTAGATCGAGGCTAGCCGACGCTAATCGACGCTAAACCGAAGCTAAATCTTCACGCTGATCGACGCTAATGCACTCTAAAGAAAGGGATTGCGACAATGTACTTAGGTCGGGCGTGTGCTCCTACAGGGGGATTTTGATCGAAAGATCAGAGATAGTCCAAACATACTCCAATAACAATAAAATCTGGTAAACAAAACCTGTCCCAGACCATGTTTCTACCACGTCTGAATACTCCTCCTGTAGAGGGACGCACCCGACTTAACAGTGTACAAGACTCCTGTGGTTTGCTATCGAACGCAGCCCCAATATTTCTCTTTCTCTCTCTCGGGGGCCCGTTGCCACCTCCTCTGCACAGCGCCTCGGTGTGCCCATGCATGTGTAAAGGAGCCCAGGGACGCACACAGATGCTGACACGAATCCGGGGATTCCAAATAGTTGTCCATATGTTCGTCGGCTTCGTCTTCCCCTCCACTTCCAATAGAATCGACGGTGATATGTGTCCTTGCCTGATCTCCCTCCTGAGCTGTGCTGGCCAAACGCGTGGCTGGCTCTTTCCCGCTCGCGACGCCAGAGAGGCGCCAGTGGCTATTGAGGAAGAAGTCGACAAGCAACTGTAGGGCCCAAATCCTGGCCGCGTGCCACAGTCTTCACACGACCCCCGTACGGTAGGTTCGTGCGACGCCGGCGCGCGCAACAATCTTTGACGTCGCGTCGACCGTTGCACCTTGCATTGATCGCGGCCCCAATCGTTCCAGGTCCAATTTCATCGGGCCCCGTGGTGCTACAGCAGGAGGTCGACCACAAGAGACCTTCCACGAGAGACCCAACCCTGAGACCCCCGGAGTTCCATGGTTTTTTGTGGTGTGGGGACGTTGAGAGACCTCCTGGTTGGGGTCCGAGTAGATGGGGTCGGAGGATCTCGCCGCATCGCCGATACGTCGGTGATGCACTGGCGAGAGTCGGCGATGCATCGGCGACGTCGGCGTGGAGAACAGTGGGCCCCACATCGAGCCCCATCGGCGATGCACCGCCGATGCATCGGCGATGCGGCACGATCCTCCGACCCCATCTACTCCGACCCCATCCAGGAGGCCTAGAACGTTACACTTGCCATGGTGGAACCATCGAAACTAAAGAAACCCAAGGGGTATCCTGGAGGCAGGAGGCAAGCAGGGTGTTTCCTGGCATGGGCTTCCACTTGAATCTTGACAGGGGTGCAGAGTTTGATGGGCCTGTTTTCCACCACCACCACCATAAGTTGGAAATGGAAAGAAGGAGGAGGATGAGGAGGAGGAGGAGGAGGACGAAGAGGAGGAGGAGGAGAACCCCCTCACCTCCAATATATGGTGGTGGTGGAAAACAGGCCCATCAGAGTTCAACCTTGCAGCCCTTCGTCAGCGCCGCCTGCGCGGCAGCGCCGCGTGAGCTTTTACTATGTGGGAAGCCGTCGGGGGGGGGCTCCCTGGGCCGACAGGAGGCCCTCTTGGGTGCCCCAGGGCCGTCTTGAAGGCCCTCCTGGGCGTCTAGGGAGCCTCTTCGGCCGTCCTGGAGCCCTCTTGCGGGCCTCTTGGGACGTTCTGGGGCGATCTTGGAGGCCTCTTGGGCGATCTTGGGGCGATACTTGCGGGCTCCTGGGCTGTCTCGGGCCATCGGGAAGCTGCGGAAAGTAAATGACTTTAGCCTCTTCGAACAACAACACAAACATAAAAACGCGGAGGTCTGCGGGAACGTCCTCGGATCTGCGCTGGGGGCCCCCTGGCGGCGCCTCTGGCGCCGCCCTCTGGCGCGAGAGGCGCGTGCTGGCAGTCAGTCCCGACCAGCACCAACAAGTACGTCTTGAGAATGCTGGGGTGGGCTGAGGTTGTTCCCCTCGTACTTGAGGACCACACACCAGACATGATCTCGGGCACCCCCAGAGGTATCGAAACAACGTCTGCCCGACGCGCTGGCGAAGTGCCGAACGAACATCGCCCCCCAGGGCCCGACACATGAAAGCCCTCCAAC